AAGAAGAATAGGATCTGGACCAAAACCCTGAGGTTAGAGAAGAGTGGATCCAACCAGCAGGGGTGAAAGGAGATGTGAGAAAACTTACGCTCTTGTAGTCTAATTATATCTCGTAAACAGTCTCTTGTCAGCTGACCATGGTTTTCAGAATAGTTTACCTGGAAAGAGGAAACATATTGCACCAACATTTATTTTCACTTAAAATGCTAACTTAACTTAGTCCCTGTGCATAGAATTTTAAATTACTGTCATTTTTTTATTAATCATGAAGAGGGCTTTATAAAAACCCTGATGATGAACCACGATTCCGCACTCGACAGAAGCAATCGCTACAGGAGTCGGTGGACAAGTAGTTGGACCAGAGTCACAAGTTGCCACGGTAACTGGGGGCACGGGCTGAATGGGATCTTCCAGTCAGTCCCTTGTTGGAATCCAGTTTTCGTTTTCTCGATTAGTAAACCAAGGCTGAGATCAAAACAACCTTTGTTTCAAGCCTTCTCTCAGGAATATCTTGTGTATGTCAAGTACTTTTATTTGGTTTTCCAAAGCACTTCCACATCTATGGTCTCATCCCACACTCACAGCCCAGTGTGGGGTTAGACATTCTTATTTCGACTTAGCGATCCAGAAGCCGAGGCCGATGCAGGCCAGGAGATTTGCTATAGGCCTAGAGCTCGTTCCTGGCAGAGTGGAGTTCAGCATTCTTTCCTGCGGGTCACTCTGCCCTCTAGCTGATCCTGCCTGAAAGCGAGCAGGGTAGCCAGGGTTCACACACAGGCTGTGACTCCAGGCCACGGCTCCACGAGCAAAGCAGCGGATGTGGATAAAGCTACAAAAGTGACTATATTTTCAAAGACCTAGACATCTGCACTAGGATCAAAGGGTCCATGCGAGACCTCAGTCACTACCCAGTCAAAGGAAATCCCTTGGCTTTTTCCTTCCTTCTTCCTCTCCTTCCCTTTCCTTCCTCCTTCCCTCCCTCCCTCTCTCTCTCTCTCCCTCTGCTTTCCTCCATACCCCCTTTTCTTGGTCAAAGCAGAGCTCACTGATATAACAAGGAACTATGTAGTCGGGCTCATATTCTCATTGGCTGGAGAACTGTGTCGAATCAGAGCTCTGTGGTCTCAGGTTCCTTGTCCCACATTTTGGCAGATGTGCTCGGCATTGATCAGAGGGCAGGGGCTCTCAGTCACCCCATGGGGACTGGGGAGGAGGACACAGCAGCGTCCCATGCTGAGCATTATTTCGTTGTCAGAATTGCCACACTGTGCCCCTCATCAACAAATAAATGATCATAACATCTAGAAAACTGGAGAATCCCCATCTCAGCAGGATCCAGAAGTAGAACATCCCCATCCAAAGAATTTGCTAGGATAGCTGTGAAAAGGGCCCCTCCTGGGCTGTGGCGACAGAGAATCATCTGGTTGAGGATTCAGTCTCTGCCACTCAAAAAGCCTCACTCAAGGAAAGGGTTTAGCTTTTTCAAGCCTCAGATTCGTGATCTGTAAAATGGCAAACCTAACACCCACCCCACAGGTTGTTGTAAGAATAAAGTGCCATGCACAGTGTCAGGCAAACAGTAGGTACTCAGTAAATGTTAGTTCTCCTCCGACCGGTCCTTTCTTTAGCCGTAAAAAGGTGCGTTCCCAGTTGAGTGACACTGTTTGAAGGGTTAACTCTTACCCTGAGAAATCAAAGTCTCTACACTAACACCATTATGCCTGACAGACCAATGACTAGGTTGTGTATGGGCAAGTGGGGCCAGCTTTGAGAAAGAAGAGCCCGGTATTAGCTGTGCATTTCAGAGGTCTTATGAAGTCACAGAATCTAATTCTTACATGGGTGATGTCTCCCCTCATCGCCCCAGGACAGAGTGGATCCCTTCTGGTTATACATCAACCTTGCATCACACTTAATCCAATCTTAATTATATGGTTGTTCAGGAGACCGTTTTACATCTACACACTCTCTAAGAGCAAGGACGAAGCCTAGCACAGTGCCTGGCACACAGAGGGTGAAGGAATGAACAGCAAAGTTTCCACTTGCCTTATCTCATTCCATCCAGATCTCAATTCTGTTAGTGACCCAGGGGCCAGGATGACAACCTGCACTTTACAAATGAGGAAACTGAAGTTTCAGGAGGTCGTACCACTGTCAAGGCCATTCGGTAAGTAGTGGTGGGGCAGGCACTTCAGCCCAGAACTCCGGACACCAAATCTCTGGCTCCTTTCCTCCACACTCCTCTGCCCTTTGACTCATCGGCCTCGCCCCCTTGTCGATTCTGACGGTGACACCGTCGAAGAGCTCCTCTCCCTGGAGCCGTCTGTCTGGGCATGTCATTTGGTGGCCAGTTACCACAATGTGAGTGCTGAAGGTCCCTTTTCCACCTTAACCCATTGAGTAATGGCTTAGTTATTGGCTGGCGAGCACCCCATCTGATGATGGCCAAACGAGCCCAGACGTGTCCAGTTACGCAGGCCTCAGGAAGCCTCTGGCAGGGAAGATTCCCAGAGTTGGGAACTTAACCTGGTTAGGTTTGTGCTGTTTTTTTGAGGGGCGAAGGGGTGCTTGACATTTGGCTTCAGTACTTTAGAAGGTTGGTCATTCCATCCATTCCTGTTTGCTTTTCCACCCTTCTGATCCCCTAAAGTTAAAAAAAAAAAAAAATCACTCAAAGCACTTAGGGCAACTGAATCTCAGTTTATATCCTCAATTCTTTTAATTGCTATCCGTTCTTTACTAATTAACCACATCTCTGATCCAGACATGCAGTAAACATCCCAACCCTCTCCTATATCTCCATTACACCCAGTTCACAATCTTGCCTTACTGATCTATTAAATCCATCCCTTTTTTTAACTGCCCCCCCCCCCGCCCCCATCTCTGGGGATCCTTGGAGAACACTTAGACATGCATGTTCCAGGACAAATTGAACTTAATGTTTAGCCAGACATAATAAAACACCTGAACTGAGAGTAACCAAATGTGTGTACATGGCCCAGTTTCCCTGTATCTAGTCGTGAGCTGTGGGATGAGTGATTTCATCTGCATGGGTTCAGTCTGTGCATCTCCGAGGCCGCAGGGGCTCTTCCCTACCTCTTGTGTCCTTCAAGTACATTTCATCTTCTAAAGCCCTTGATGACAAATCAGAGACAGGAATGCCTTAAGAGCCCCAAGTGAAATGCTCACTCACTGCTCTGGAGCTTATTCAAGGTTCTTTATCAAGAGTTGCAGGCAGAAAAGGTCATCCTTCAGCCTGCTGTGGCCTGGAAGTGCTGGTGACAAGATTGTCTTTCTAACTACTTCCTTAAAAAGACTTCAGAGCTCTTTATTAATGCAAACAATCGCTGAGCTGAGAGGGACAGAACAGTAGCACCCCTTTTAATGTGGGTGGCATGTGCTTCCTGGTGACTCTCAGCACAGAAGCCGCTCAATCCCCCCAAAACCTGCTTGGACAAGTGGTTTCCCTGGTCGCTGAGGCCGGCCTGAGAGTCCACACAGGCTGAGAGTCAGCACAGACCTGAGAGATGTGAGGCTGGTCGGGCTGTCAGGCTGTGGTGGCCAACAGAATAGGGCAGGATGGGTCAAGTCGCAAAATCAGGGGTCATGTACCAGGGCTGGGTGAGTACCCTTCATCAGACCATGTGGTCGGAGCAATGTCTATAGGCAGCAAGAAGCTAAGAGACTAGGCAAGGTCACAGAGCAGGAAGGAAACCGAGCCCAGCGTGGGGAGCAGAACAGACACTGGGAGGCCCAGGGAAGCCAGAAGCACAAATGACAAGCACAATGGGAACAGCAAGGGGCAGTAACAGCAGGAGAAAGATTTATCAAGTATTGGAGGCAGCAGGTTAATAAAATCTTTAACAAGTGAACATGGACTAACTACAAAGGGGGATCAGAGCCACATGTATATAACTAGATGTACACAGATACGTACTTAAAAGAATACACATATGTGTGGGGCGCCTGGGTGGCTCGGCGCCTGGGTGGCTCAGCGTCTGCCTTCGGCTCAGGTCATGGTCCCAGGGTCCTGGGATCAAGTCCCACATCGGGCTTCCTAGTTGGCGGGAAGCCTGCTTCTCCCTCTCCCACTCCCCCTGCTTGTGTTCCCTCTCTCGCTGTGTCTCTCTCTGTCAAATAAATAAATAAGATCTTAAAAAAAAAAAAAAGAATACACATATGTGTGAAACGTGGGCAGAAATGAGCAACAGGTGATGATAATATGCACTGGAAGCTGAACCCAGGACACAACGCAAAACGCCTAGTACAGTGCCTGACACATAGTAGGTCATCAACAACACGCCTTTTTCCTCCACGGCTAACCCACGGAAGGGCTACCGCTCCCCCCGGCTTCCGAGAGAACGGACTGATACTGTGAAGCAGCTTACGTGTTACTGGGGCAAGTCTAACTGCTTCGGAAAGCGGTTCACCGTGTACCCTGCTGCGCTATTTAGCTCTTCTAAATGAATTTCTTTGTGTCCACGTGAACAGGCAAGACCTTCCCAGGCTGCACTGTCCAAGCGGCCGCGATTCGGAGTTGAACGCAACCTCTCTGCTCTCCTTTCCAGTCCCTAACGTGTGCCTGGCACACGACGAGGGGGGCCCCCGAAGGAGGCCCTGGCCCACCCGGCATTGTACTTAGGGGGCTTCCCGGTAAGGGCTGCGACAGCCCGGGGCAGCGACCCCTGGAGCCGGTCCCTAGGCGCACCCCCCCCCGGTGGGGCCGACGACAGGCGGCTCTCCCGACCCCTGCCCGCCGCTCCCACGAGAGACCCGGCTTCCCCGGCGAGCGCCGCTGAAGTCGGGCTCCCACTCAGCTCGCCACCGGGGCGCCAGACCTGCTGTGGGCAGGGCGTGCTCCCCCGCGCACGATGACATCATGTGCTTGGCGCTGAGTCGCTCTATAAGAGCGGCCCGCCACGAGCCGGGCGCCCAAGAGCAGGCGCGCTCGCTCGGCCGGGCTGCGCGCACGCGGTCCCCAGCGCGCGAGCAGAGGCGCGCGAGCCCCCGCTCCCCGACCCGGCGGCGCCCCCGCCCCGCCCCCGCCGCGCGATGCCCCGCAGCCTGCGCGCCGCCGCCGTCCTCCTGCTCCTCTGCTTCAGGGCACAGCCGGCCGGCCCAGCGCCGCTCAACGGTAAAGTGTCCGCCCGCTCTTTCCTCAGTCCCCGGCGCGCAGCCACACCGGCCCGGAGGATTGCCTGCGGGGCTCGCTAATCCTTTTGGCGGGGAGCGTACTCTCCAATGGCGTATTTTTAGACACTTTGGAAAACGCGTTTTGGAAAATTCTTTTGCCTTTGGAACGCACGACCTGTTGCGATGGGGGGAAGCACGTGTCTTCGGATTAAAACATGCTCGTGTGTTCTCGGAGCTCGCCCCAGCTCTGGAGGGGTGGGTGGCTTGGGAACTTGCTAAGGGGGGGGGAGGGAGGGAGAAGGGGAACCAGGATTTAAAATGCTGTGCCCGGATCCGCGATCCACGTGCAGATGGTCGAGGAGTCCATGTGGCGTCGGAGCCGCCTGGTTAGCAGGAAGGGTTTGCAATGCCCCAGCTGCAGCACCTTCCCGCAGTGGTGGATGCTTTTCTTTGGAGGAGAGCCTCTTTTTTTTTTTTTTTTTTTAAGATTTTATTTATTTATTTGAGACAGAGAGAATGAGAGAGAGAGAGAGCACATGAGAGGGGGGAGGGCCAGAGGGAGAAGCAGGCTCCCTGCCGAGCAGGGACTCCAGGATCATGACCTGAGCCGAAAGCAGTCGCTTAACCAACGGAGCCACCCAGGTGCCCTGGAGGAGAGGCTCTTTACCATTAAGTTTTACCTCCAAGTCAAAGGGATGATGCATCCCATTATTAATCATTGTTTTTCTCCAGAAGGGCTCTACTGTCTTGAACGTGTGTGTGCACTCGGAAGAGCATACACACCTCACTTCTGAGTGTAATTAGGGCTCTTAACCCCGAAAGGCTGGAGGCTGAGGGTGCCCAAGGGGATGGCAGGAGGAGGTGTGGGGACCTTGGGTCAAGGCAGTGAGTTTGGGTGCGCAGCCAAGGTCAAGGTTAGTTAATCCTTAGGAGCAAGGAGAGGATGACAAGCTTTTGCCTGCCTCTCCAGCTGCTGGCTGAGCACTTTTCTGGGGGTAGATAGTGAGTTTTGTGGAAACTTCCCCAGGAACTGATGGTAGCTCCTGCCCTTGACAGAGTGTGTTCCAAGTTGTAGGGACATTTGTAGGTGCTATCGGTCCTGGACCGAGGTTAGGCTGAAATATTTGTAGGAGGGCTGAAAGTGACTATGATGGCTGGAAATGGATCCTCCCTTGCTAGACAGTGGTGTGGGAAATTGATCCTGCTCTGTAGCGTGAAGACTCAGAGCCTCCTTCTCTGCTGGAGGTCACACGGTGTCGGTGGGGCTGGGTAGGAGGGAGGTGGGGGAGCTGGCCTGTCACAGCGTTGGCGTTACTCTTAACTCAAATCCACTGGCTGGTAAGATATGCTTGGTATTATTTCCCTCGTCTGGTCCAGAAGAAATAGAAGGTTGGGGGACGCCCGGGTGGCTCAGTTCGTTAAACACCGGACTCTTGATCTCAGCTCAGGTCTTGATCTCCGGGGTGTGAGTTCAAGCCCCACGTTGGGCTCCATGCTGGGCATGGAGCCTATTAAAAAAAAAAAAATTGGTGGAAGAAAGGGGTTACATGAAAGTGGAAATTAATTTTTAAAACTGCAGACTTTGACACGTATTCCCCTTTTGAGAAAGCTGCACCGGGACCTGAAGTTTTGTGAGAAATCTCCCTTGTAGTTCCAAGCTGCTCTGAGACAGGAGAGAAACAGCCATTCATTGGCTCTTTCCAGAAAGCCTGTTACTACCCTCACTCTGGGGCAGCCCCTCCTCCCTTCCCTCTCTTCCCCTGCCATCCCTGCCCTCCCCTCCCTCTCCTCCCTCTCTCCCTAGCCCCTGCCCTAGCCCCTGCCCTTTTGCCTCCCTTCCCCTCCTCCTTTGCCTTCCTTCTCTCCCCATTTTCCAAGTCGGGGTGGGGGAGCTTGCAGTCAAAAAGCCACTTTCACCCCCACACTGAGTAGCCAGCCTGCCTACCCCTAGAGTCCAAGAACACAGTTTTTATTCTGTTATTCCTCCTGTAGGTTTCTTGACTGTTTAAGTGCCTCAGGGGACAAGGTCAAAGCCAAAGTCACCGAGATGTAGAGTGTCAGTATTAACACAGGGTGGGGAGTAGAGGGGGGTTAAACTAGGTAATGAGGTCAAAGTGTGGTCTACCCTCCTCCCAGAGCATTTAAACTCCCAGCATTTGGCACTGGTAAATGTCTGGGGGAAAAAAATGACTGGAGTGGGGAAGGAGGGAGCATAAAAAGGTGAGGTCACGTGTCTTCTGGAGAAAACCTTTGAATGCTGAGTTGCTGTGGGGAACATTTCAATGATTTCTCACAGAGTCTGCTCTGCCTGAACCTGGTATGGAGAGCTGAGCAGTCTCTGGCAATGACGGTTACTCAGAGAAGGTTCTAGCACCCAGATCAGGAAGCAGGCAGGGCCCTGAACCCCTGGCCTGGATCCTCGTCTGTCCCACTTCCTCAGTGAGCTCGCCGGGCATTCTCCCCGCCCGGTACAGAGTAGGCCTGCAGGTTCTAACAGGCATCGAGCTGGGCCTCCCAGGTCTCCCACACAGAAGAGGAAAAAGGTCCCTCCTGGAAAAGCCTGCTCCCTGAGGAAACCTCCAAGGTGCAGGTAGCCGCAGGGGTTTTGGCCCGGCCTGCCTTCTGCGTGTGGTCAGGACTCCTGCCCTAACCAGGAGGCGGGGAACCATGAGGCGCCACATCCAAATAACACACACACACACACACACACACACACACGTCCCTTCAGAAAGTCTTCCTTGGGTCAGTTCTGAGCTGAAGAGGGACCAGGCTGGGCCCTGACCTTCATCAGATGACCCCCCCAACATTCAGACCACCCTCCCCTTCCTTCTACGGTGCTGCTTCTCCCCAGCTTCCAGCTCCCCAGTCCTTCCGGACACTGTCATTTATACCCAAAGCACCAGGGCCTGAGGACCAGGCAGGCTTGCCTGGAGAGAGGAAGGCAGGGAAGTTCACTCTGGATGCTGCTGTTTTTTAAGAACGCATCCCCGGTCCTGTGTCACCACCGGAGGTCTCAGTCCCCCATGTCCACTCTGTGACACTGGCCCCTGAGCTGCCCGCAGTATTTCCTGGATGCCTCATCTAAGGATGAGCCTCGACCATAGGGAAGACCTCCGCTTAGCAAGCTTTGGTGGGGAGAGCTCAGAAGAGGTGGAATATGAAAGGCTATGATTTGATTTGGGGGCAGGTGCAATTAAAGTCCTGGCCAAGGCAGGACTGCTCGGAGGCTGCAGCTGTTTTTCTGGTGGTCTCCAGGATCACGGGAGTGGCCATCTCTCCGGGTTAGCTGTGAGGATGAACTCCCCCAATCCTCATGAACGTCTGTGTGCTGAGCTTCCAAGTGCTCTGCCCGGCTACCTGGCAATGATCTGGTTTCTTCTAGCTCTGAAATCCAGAACTGGATTTCAGTAGCGAAGCCCTCAGACAAAACCCCTGAAGAGGTTTGAGGTGCCCTGTAGCTTGGTTCCAAGGCAATGCCTTCTTTGTTCCTTTCCAGTGTCGTTTCGGGGAATGCGCTGGCAGTCCACTCGGGGCTTACGCACAGGTTTGGTTCTGCATGTCTTCAGCTAATTGCTAATTCCCGGGAGGTTAATCTTGGGACTCTTAACTCCTGTGGGGTCCATAGCAGGTTTTAGGGGTTCTGCGGACCTCCTGAAATTAATTGTACATGAAATTTTGTGTGTCCAAGCCTATGGACATTTTTATGGGGAAGAGGTCTGTAAGTACTCATTAGATATTCTAAGGTGTCTGAACACCAGCCCCCCTCGCTCCTTGGCGATTGAGAAGGAGACTCGAAGATTTCCCAAGTTTGCTGGAGGTACTGGTAAATGTGGAGAGACACTTCTTAGCAGGCACTGATCTTCCACTTCATGCAGGGGACTGTCATTGCCTTACATATAAAACAAGGTGATAGGCTGCAGGTGGTGCGCAGAGACCTCACCACTTCTCTTCCAGGGAGGGAGGACAGTAATAACACCTCAACCTAAACAAATCATGGAGGAACCCTGCAGGCCTATTTTACTGAGATGTGGAGATACTATCCAGATTGAAAAAGGCTTCAAAGTGCTCTAGGGACCAGGAAAATAGCGAGGGGTGTCAGGGGCCTGATATTTTATTAAAAAGCCTTGGAGAACCATCTGACACTTTAAACCATGTACAAGTGTAACTAGATACAATTACCATTTTGAAAATTAAAAACCAAATTCATTAAAAGCACTGAGGCAAAGAAAGGAACCAGAACAACAGAAAACCGTGGGATTAAACTAGCTTTTCAAAAGCAGCAAAATTCTCTTTTTGCTTTTAAAAATCACTGTTGCCTTGGGTAGGAAATGCTCGGTTGCTGTGACGGGTGCAGGTTGCTGGTCAGTTAGGTTTTGCTGCAGATCATCTCCCTAGAGAGAACGGGGCCGTGAGAGCCTCCTCTTCCGACTGTACCCTGTGGGCCCCGCATCGTGATGGCAAGAGAAGCCAGGAGAGGTACTTGGGATGTGAAGAGTCCCCTCTCCCTGGATATGTCCCCTGAGGCACCCCGAGTCTCAGGGTCTCTGTGTCCTTCTGGAGGTGAAGAGGGAGGTGTCAGGCAGGGTACCAAGGGTGGAACTCTGCAACATCTCTTTTTCCAAAATATGTTTGGATGTAGGAACGGGGGACTTCTGTGCGTGAAGGGTGTGCAGTGGGAGGTGGTAGGTGACTTTCCTGATATTCCTGGCAGAACCTCTCCTACACCTTCTCTCCCCCAACCCCCGAAATTCTAACTCGGGGGAGGGGGGCAGCTTCCTCAAAGAAAAACTTTCCTTTTGAGCGGAGTTTTCTCCTCTTTAGGAACTGATGTGAATGGCTCTCCAGGGTGTGTTGTTCGGTGGGAAAGAGCAAGAGGCCTACCAGTGTTTCCAGTATGTTGACATCTGTGTTGCAGAAATGGGGAGAAAGAATGTGATTACATATGCGCGTGTAGTCACCGTGAAAATGTTCCCAGCAGCTCATAAAACTGGCTTTCTCTCTCCTGGAAGCAGGGAGATCGGGTGGGAGGAAGAGCTTTCATTGTGTACCCTTTGGGAGCTTTTGGGGTTTGAGCCTTGTGAATTTCTTTTACGTCTTCAGAAAATAAAATTTGGCTTCTCTAGGATCTGGGAGGCTTCTAATGAAGCCGCCTCCGCGGTCCTTGAGCCCCTGCACCCACTCGCGGCCCCGCGCCTCCCCCTGGCGGCTCTGGGAAGCGGCCGACGTGACACAGACTCTGACAATGTCCTGCCGTCTGGGCATCCGCCTCCTTTCCGACCTCACCCATTTCAAAATCCAATCTGTAGCGTTTTCTCTCACTTGCTTAAGCTCCGTTGTACTTACTTTGCTTTGTTTTGTTCTTTGCAGGATCCAAGTGGAGCTATTTTGGTAAGTAGAGATCTTAAATACTTTTTTTTTAAAAAAAGATTTATTTACTTTAGAGAGAGTGAGCGCGGGGGGTGGGGGCGGTGGAGGGGCAGAGAGAGAATCTTAAGCAGACTCTGCGCCGAGCACATGCCTGACATGGGGCTCGATCTCATGACCCTGAGATCATGACGTGAGCCGAAATCAGGAGTCGGATGTCTAACCAACTGCGCCACCCAGGCGCCCCTTAAATACTTTTTGGAGGAGATGGCTGTATTTAATGAAAAAGCCAGAAACGCCATGATCTGTGGAGGTTATTGTGGGGGCTGAGAAGAAGGACTCTGGTATCATTAAGGGAGCACAAAGGCTTCTCTAAAGAACCGTTCCGCACGGGCTGCATGCCGTACTTTCTCCAAGCACAGGAGCCTGCTCCGTGCACTCAAACTATGAATCCTAGCATTCCGGTTTCCAGATTCCTGCAAGGATTTCTGCCAGACCTCCCAGGTGAATGTGCCTCGGTTACCTCCAGACTGCAAGGGCCTTGGGTGGGAGAGAGACCTTCTCCTCCATAGGACATTTATTCTACAATAAACAAAGCATAAAGGGCTCCTTTCTGGAAGTTTGGCTCAGACCCCAGAATTTAAGCTGTCCGCGTGTCTAGAATTAACGTCTTGTTGCCATGTTTGTAAGCATGCGGAGTTCAGAGGTGGTGATGGCCTGTCCTTACTGAGAGGGATGCCTGCCCCGTGCGTGAGAAGGGAGAGGGATGTCAAGTATGCAGCGGGGTTTCCGGGGCATTGACAAGAATGACATTAGCCATCTCTGGCAGGCCTGCGAGATAAGCAGCTTGAAGTTAGCTCAGCCAGTGTGTGAAATGGACTGGAAATTTGGTCATCAGCTGGGGTGGGAATGGGAGGCCGAGTGCCAGGTCCACGGACAAGTGCAAGAATGTTAATAATGTCTTGTGAGGGACAGTCAGGAGCACGGGACAAGATAGATTATTCTGGAAAGAGGAGGCTGGAACTGGCCTCCCTGGCACGGGAGGAGGGTTGACAGGCAGAGGATTTGATCACCACAGTGGAAGCAGAATCCACAGCAAAGTCTGACTTAGATTTGCAAAAGCTAGCCTTTGGCTGTTTGTTAGCCCGGGAGGCATAGAAAAGTCACTGAGTTAATTCGCCAACCACCTACAGGCCAAGGTCTCCTGGCTCTGGCGTTGCATGGCTCCATCATTATGTACTTTCTTGTGCAAGACACGCTGCTAAGTGGGTGAGTAATTAGAAGGGGAGGCTGTGCTCTGTAGCTGGGAGTACTTACAACTCCCAATTCAAAGCTGAATAGAGAATGGCAGGTAATGAATAAATGGTTCAGTGCTCTGAGGGTTCCGAGGAAAGAGAGTGCTAGGGCTGGATGGTCAAGGAAGGCGCCCTGGAGGGGGAGGGCTTTCACCTGGACCTTGGAGGATGGAGAGGATTCAGTGGGGGTAGGAAGGAAGTGCTGTTGGCTAAGATGATGATGGCATCACATGAGCGGAGACAAGAAACAACAAGATGGTATATGGGGGGCAACATCTACAGAAAGAGTTCCAGGGGAGTGATTAACTCTTAAGGTCAGAAACAGAGGTTGTATCGAGCAGGGGAGACATGGAGGGGCAGGCTGGACCCTTCTCATTTTGTCCCAGAGATGGAGGAGCAGGGCAGGGAGTAATCTGTGTTTTAGGGAGAGTCACGTGGTAGTGGGGGCTGGAGAGGGAAGGATGGGGGGCAGGAAGGTGTCTGGCCTTTGCAGAATTCCTATTTGAGGTCTTCACATCCAGTTTGGGGATGGCAGTCAGAGGGAAGGAGAGGCCAGGCAAATGACTCGACCCAGGAAGACTGAGCAGAGTCTGGGCCTCAGGGCTCCTCGGGAGGGAGGCTGGCCATGTGCGGGGTGACGGGAGCAGCGCAGAAGCATTTCCTGACCGCTAGCTCTGGCCAGCCCTCCCTCCCCCTTGCCCTGCACCCCCCTGAGCAGTGCTCTGCTGAGGAAGCAGAGGGCAGAGTCTAATGGTGCGTGACATGCATGGGCTGAGCGCAGAGACAAATCTGGCTTTTGATGAGTGCACGGAGTGCACATGATGTGGGGTCAGCCCTCAGTGCGGGCCAATGAAGGAGGACGGATGCAGGCTGGCCAGGGAGGCGGACAGGTCCAGGCCGGCAGCTGGCACCCGTGGTCAGCGTCACCCGGGGAAACAGAGGGCCTGGCATGGGTGCTACGGGGGAAATGGTTTCCAAGCCATGAGGGCCGCACTGAATGAGGCAAGTCCAACCAAATGCCACGTGTTGGTTTTCCCAGGGTGCAGACCTCAGCTACTTTGCACGTAGATGCTGCTGAGTCATCCTGATCCAGGGGCCTCCTGCGGCCTGGAACATAGGGTAGGACTTCTAGAAGCACATGGAAAGAGAACCCTACCCCCACTCCCCCTCCACAAAGTCACCAGGCTGACCTCCCTGCTGGCCCGCCTGGAGACAGGAGGACCATCTGATGGCCAAGCTGGGGCCCGCCCTGCCCCTGTGCACCCCTCCGGGGTGGCTGAAGCAGCAGCTGGAGGTGTGCTGGGTTTAGAACTGCTGAGCAGGCCCTTCCCACCGGAAATCAGTCCCAAATCAATCCTGCTGAGCCCCAGCAGCTCTGCCAACTCTGAGCCGGGGGACAGTTGCAAGTCAGGTTGCCCTGTGAGCGAATGATCAACTCCAGCTTGCTGAAGTGAATCTCTGCCGTTAGAAGTCAAGGTGGCAGGTGCCCTCGTGCAATGGGGGTGGCGGGAAGGAGGTGCGAGGTGGGGGCTGGTCATGTTTAGTTCCTTGGTGTGGGGGCTGTGTTCAGATAGTGAGGAGTCATCAAGCTGTTCACTGATGATGATGCACTGTTCTGTGTGTGTATTATATGCAATAAAAGAGTTAACAAATTCCAGCTGGCTGGGAGAGTCATCCTTACCCTGGAAGTTTTTTGGCCCTTTCCCACAAAAACCCAAAAAAAACCAACACAAAAAACCCTTAGTATGTTCAAAACAACAGAGCAACCAAAAAGAATGACTGTGTTGGAACCAAGGACCTAAGAGCACGTCATGTGAGCAGAGAGTGGGCTCCGCGCTCCAGCCCCGAGCACACTTGACATTGCTTCGATGCTCCCCAGATGTGAGCTCGCTCAGACACAGAAACCACTGTCTGCTAGATATCTGGGAGGAATCAGATAAGCCTTCAAAAGAGATGGGATGTAAGCTCCTGGAGGGGGTGGGCGTCCCACCTCTCCTGGAGTCCAGGGCCCTGCGGGCCAGCCCCTCCATCCCGGCGCAGGGAACTCTGGTGTGATGGTGGCTTGGCCTGGGGATGCGGGAGAGCGGGCTGCAGCCCCTCACCGGCCCTCCTGCCCAGCTTCTCTGCCGTGGTTGGAAGGCCCTGGGCTCTGGCAGGACTCCCTGGGACCCAGGCACTGCCCCCGCATTCCTCAGGCTGCTCTCTCTCCTTCGTCCCAGACCAGAGATTCCCTGGCTTAAAGGATTTCCTTTAAGAATCAGGAAAGGATCCTCCACGGGGGCAAACCTCTCTGGTTCTCTAGGCTTCCGCCTCTACCCACCTTCGGTCCCGAATCTGCTGGAATATTAGGTTGCCGCAAACTTTCCCTGGCACGTGACGTCCTTCCCAGACCCTTCCCAAACTCTAAGAATGAGATGCGAAATGTGGAGGGAGGCTGGCGGAAAATCTCCCTACTTTTTTTTTTTTATTCTTATGTTAATCCCCATACATTACATCATTAGTTTTAGATGTAGTGTTCCATGATTCATTGTTTGTGCATAACACCCAGTGCTCCATGCAGAATGTGCCCTCCTCAATACCCACCACCAGGCTAACCCATCCTCCCACCCCCCTCCCCTCTAGAACCCTCAGTTTGTTTTTCAGAGTCTATCGTCTCTCATGGTTCGTCTACCCCTCCAATGTCCCCCCCTTCATTCTTCCCCTCCTGCTACCTTCTTCTTCTTTTTTTTTTTCTTAACATATATTGCATTATTTGTTTCGGAGGTACAGATCTGAGATTCAATAGTCTTGCACAATTCACAGTGCTTACCAGAGCACATACCCTCCCCAGTGTCTATCACCCAGTCACCCCATCCCTCCCACCCCACCCCCGACTCCACCAACCCTCACTTTGTTTCCTGCGATTAAGAATTCCTCATATCAGTGAGGTCATATGATACATGTCTTTCTCTGAATGACTTATTTCGCTCAACATAATACCCTCCAGTTCCATCCACGTCATTGCAAATGGCAAGATCTCATTCCTTTTGATGGCTGCATAATAGTCCATTGTATATATATATCACATCTTCTTTATCCATTCATCTGTCGATGGACATCTTGGCTCTTTCCACAGTTTGGCTATTGTGGACATTGCTGCTATAAACATCGGGGTGCACGTACCCTTTCGGATCCCTACTTTTGTATCTTTGGGGTAAATACCCAGTAGTGCAATTGCTGGGTCATATGGTAGCTCTATTTTCAACCTTTTGAGGAACCTCCATACTGTTTTCCAGAGTGGCTGCACCAGCTTGCATTCCCACCAACAGTGTAGGTGGGTTCCCCTTTCTCCGCATCCCTGCCAACATCTGTCATTTCCTGACTTGTTAATTTTAGCCATTCTGACTGGTGTGAGGTGGTATCTCATTGAGGTTTTGATTTGGATTTCCCTGATGCTGAGCGATATTGAACAGTTTTTCATGTGTCTGTTGGCCATTTGGATGTCTTCTTTGGAAAAATGTCTGTTCATGTCTTCCGCCCATTTCTTGATTGGATTCTTTGTTCTTTGGGTGTTGAGTTTGATGAGTTCTTTATAGATTTTGGATACTAGCCCTTTATCTGATATGTCATTTACAAATATCTTCTCCCATTCTGTCGGTTGTCTTTTGGTTTTGTTGACTGTTTCCTTTGCTTTGCAAAAGCTTTTTATCTTGATGAAGTCCCAATAGTTCATTTTTGCCCTTGCTTCCC